GAACTTGTACAATCAATAACCCAGACACACACAACAGTAACAACACAGAACATAAGACTTGTACTATCTCTACTCGAGACCACATGTAATTAAAACACACACACAAAGAAAGAAATACAAGTTTATGAATTTTGAAAAGCCAACACAAAAAAAGTCGGCAGCTACAAAGTTCTGACACCTGTGCACCAACGTAATAAGAGTCCATCTCAAATTTCTTCAAGCCATTTATTGTTCCAACGTTTTTATTCGCGTCTGTTTGTCTTTTTTTTTTTTTATTATTCGAACATAAAAATATGAAAATTATAAAGGGCGGATAGGAGGGTAGAATTAAAAATAATACAACTGCAACACACATGTTGTTATGTCGTGTAAATACATCAGTGACGAAAAAGCCGAAGAAAATGATTTTGACGCAGAACACAGACATTCATATGTACATCATCAAAATCAAACTGTTGGTGAATTCCACAACTGTTCCGGCTCCTCACGAAAAGCGAGCTACCCAAAACTTTCCACTAGCTTATTGCACTTGCACATAACAAAGTCACAGTAACATATGGAGGAGAGTCTATTAGTGTGACTAATACTTCCATGTAGAAATCAGATCATCACCATCATTCAACATTGTACTACAGTATGCCAAAATTTCGAGAGAAAAAAAATGAAAACCAAGTACGTTGTCAAGTTTGATGAGGCCCAAGAACAGGCCCTTGTCTCATTCTTTTTCTTAAAACAGTAATGGACTCAGCAGACAGACTTCACATTGTGTATTAACATACCTAAATCATATAATATCCTGCCTTAAAAAAAGTTTTTTGCTTCTAAAAACTTTGGGGGGTTTTTCACATTCAATAATGATGAATGATGGCAACAAGATAATATATAATGTAATTACGTTGGAAAACATTTTGCAATAGTTTCATTCTGATTAGGACAATTCGCTACGATAGGAGTAAGAGGGTGGTACAGACAATAACATAAGGTTAAGTATTACACTTCCCAAAAGGGACTCAAAAGAGCTTTAAAAACAATCTTTCTCACTATAAGAAACTTCACACACAATTTATTTCATTCACTTCATACATGGGGAGAAAAAAAAAGCTTGCTCATTGACATCTATAAAAGGACTAGAAGAAAAATGTTTTTTAAGAAACTGTAGGAATTTAAAAAGTTAGGTGACAGTGTATCGCCCTACCTCCCTTTCAACAGAAAACTATTATGACTTGAAGAAATTCCTCAGCTGGCCTTGTATAGATATGAGCAGAAAATATTCTCAACAAGAAACAGTAGATGAGAGAGGAGAGAAAGCCATAACTACGGACAAACGTTACATAATGTTAAACCTACCAGGCAAGCTATAGAGGTGAACACGGCATCCACAAACATAGGATAAAATGATGATGGTTATATATAGCTCTTTATCATAAATGCTTTGTGCCTCCATCAACACAATTCAGATCATGTAGGAGGTGGGCTGCTTTGACACTGCCATCAGGGATGACCTGGGCTAAGTGGGATACAGTAACCCACCAGGAAAGATTGAGACACTGGATGGAGAACAAAACACTTCCCCCATCAGGAGAGAGAACTTCTTTCTTCTGAATGCCATGACGAAGATGATTTAAAATAAGATATGACGTACAGATGGAGAAGAGGAAAGTCAAGAATGGTACCATTCTGTTATAAAATTGATAAAAGCGTTAATGAACTTATGATTCACAGGGTTCAGCACTGATGATGAAAATGAAGGGAGAAATTATTCCAGATACGTGTAAAAAAAAAGATGTTTTTCTCCACATGAACATGAGTTTCTGAATGTGAGTATGTGAGTGTGTTGATGTGTGTGTGTGCGTGTGAGAGGGAGAGAGAGGGGGAGAGAGAAAGAAAGAGAGAGAGAGAGAGAGAGAGAGAAAGAGAGAGAGCGAGAGAGAGAGAGAGCGAGAGAGAAAGAGAGACAGAGAGAGAGAGAGACAGAGAGAGAGAGAGAGAGAGAGAGCGAGAGAGAGAGAGCGAGAGAGATGTATGTGCATCAGTGTATGAGAGTGTGTACATGTCGTAGCGAGTATATGACTGTTGTCAGAGTAGAGAGAGAGTATGAGTGCATGCTCGAGTCGGCGTGTATAAATGCATGCATATTTCCTAATATTATATGGTACTTATGTCTCAAAAACAGCAACTATTTCCTATTCGATTATCAAGCAAACATATTTTTCACTCCAACAAAAGAAAAGAGGACAAAGACAAACAACGTTAAAAATAATAAATTTACAGCCTTTCACAAAGTACGAACACACATCTTCATATATTTTCTTCTTTGTAGTGTCCACAGACTGAGGAATGTTTGCACAGTCAGTTTTTATTTGTAGCAGATTAACTTTTTTCTTTTTGGCTGATACATGAGCAAGAAAGACGATTTAAAAGTCATTAAACAATAATGTCAGTGCTAATATTTTTCCTCCACTGATTAAGAAACATCCAAGAACAAATATATGTAACTGTAGCCCGGGAAAAGATCCTACAGATGAGCACAATCATTTAAGATTATGTTGTTTAAAATACAAAACGAGAAATTTATCAAAAACGCCGAGAAAAAAAAAAGTAGCAATTCATGGACCCTTCATCATTATGCATGAGAAAACGAAAGAATTTGAAGCTACCTTGACGACAATGTGTTGTTTTACCAGAGGCTTCCAGTTTTGCCACAAATGAGGTGGAATAATTATGCCAGCAGAGAAATAGTTTTTGACATAACTGGTCTCCTCCTTTTAAACATAGCCTTCCTAATGTGGTCCACACCTCAAAATTTGCATCAATATTACGTCGGCTAAATGTGAAAACTTCACCCAGGCCTCGTCTCTTTAAAAGAGCAACAACAAAAAAAGAAAGTAAAACCATAACGTGTTTGTTCTGAGGGAATATATTAAATAAAGTTTAACAACCCATGAATACATGAACAACAAGTACTGAAACTTCACAAACATCAGATTGAGCAAAACTATGATTACTTCTCACTGAAATAGCCACCACGATGAAAACACAAACTTAAACATCTCATTATAGGTCACAGCAACAAAATAACACCGTAAGGTTAACACTCGACGATTCAATTTAAAAAAGATCACTATTGAAAAAAACGTTTCACAATTAATACTTCCACGCAGCCAGCAAAACAGTCTAACAGTATGCAGCACATACAGTAAAGAAATAACTTAAAAGTAGTACTTTTTGACAATGGCAGACCTGCCAATTTTTCAAAGACTGAAATCCGGATCCTTATCTTGCTCCAAAATTGATGTCGCAAAATCCCACAAAACTTTTGAAAAGGTTAGAGTCAGGTACAGATATCACTTTGCTGATTACTGCCAAAAAAGGCAAATTGTACACCAGCACAACAGTGTGGGAACAAGGACAAAAAAGTAGCACCACATCAGGCAAACGCACTCTTCCTGTTTCTTTATTTTTTCATAGTGGACTTACGAAATTTAGCAAAGAAAATAATTTTCCCTCGGTGGGTCAGTTGATCAGGGAAAAATGAAATCATTATCTGAACCTCAGGAAATGCAGTCTGAATTAGGGAATTTGACGATAAAATTGGTACGGTTAGCAAGTCTGCCAAGGCATACACAACATCTATGGTTACGGGATCTCAATCATTGGGACAAGTTAAGTAATAAAAGTGTTTATTGAATAACATACTCAGCTATAAACAACATGCAACTTGAAATATCCAATTTACAAATACAGAGTTCGATAAAGCAAAGGTATTCATAACCGTAGCATATTAATTTATGCAATATAATATATATACAAGCAAAGGAAGAAACAAAATAAAAAACACTTTTTAAACAGTTTGATTCTATTACACTATAATGGGGGGGGGGGGGAGTAGAAAAAAAATTACATATGTGGGTGAATCAAAAACTGAGCTAATGGACGCTGACAAAAGTGACTTTGTACCTTTCACCAGGTGTAACAAACCTTTAACGTTCAAATATATGTTCCACCGAAGATTCAATTATCGTTGACAAAACAACCACACTATGAAATTCTGAATGTTCCTAAACTAAAATTGCAAAAAGACAGGTTAGCCAGCCATGTCCCAAAAATTCTTCACATCACAACACAAACAAACAAAAGAAGAACAACAAAAAATGGTGCAGAAAGTCTTCTTAAAATAGAAAACAATGGAGGAGGCGGCAAAATTAAAACAAAAACAACCCCCCCCCCCCAAAAAAAAAAAACAGCAACAAAAAAGAAAGGCACGAGCTCATAATAAAAGTCTTCAGTACAACGAGGTGCCTTGGCACAGGAAATGTCTAGTCTAATAGAACCTTCTGAAGTAATCTCTATGACAGTGACAGCAGCGATGCAGAAAAACATCGTGCATCAAAAGCTAGATCTAATCTGTGTGCCGTAGCCCCCTTAGACGAAGCGTTGTTGTGCAGAAAGTTTTATTGCCTCCTATGTGACCCCATGACCCCTGCACTGAAACCACCTCGAGCTAGCTGCCACAGAGAGAGAGAGAGAGAGAGAGAGAGAGAGAGAGAGAGAGAGAGAGAGAGACAGACAGAGAAAGGGGAGGGAGGAAGAAAGAGAGCGAGAGAGAGACAGACTGACAGACTTCCCTACTTTTGACCAACCTTTCTCTCACTAGGAAACAAATTTTACCATGTCCCAAGCACATGTACAGTATTAAAAACAAAACAAAAAGAACCAGAAAAAAACAAAACAAATAATACCAAACAAATCTTTCATGCATAGTAAAAATTTGTACATTATTTGAATTATGCTACATCAGATAGAATAATTTATAAAATGTAGTATAATGTGGAGCGCTGCAGGTTAGACTAAAATGATCTATAGAGGGTATGAGAGGTACAGAGTCATAGGCTTTCAAGCATTATTCTTCAACATACTATTTTCTTTTTATACTTAAGGTTTTTTTGTTGAAAAAAGCAGGTAAAGGAGCAAGCCACAGCATTACTGTTCTATAAAGCAAATTTTTTTTCTTCTGTAATATTCACATTTTTTTTAAAAAGCAGACAAGGGAAGCAAGCCAGAGAAATCTTAGACAAGTTAATCTTCCTCCAACTTGGCATAATTCTCACTTGTGACTAAAAATAAATAATCATTACAATCGTTTAGATTTTAAAGGCCTCTTTAATGTTCCCGATATTCAGTCATTGAAACTCCTAAAACCTCTTTAGATTCAATCATCTCATTCACAAAACTATATTTCCAACTAACTGATGTCACTTGGGGAAAATCAAAAGAGATGGTATTATCTAATATTTAACAATAACCACTCCAACAACTGAATCAAAAAGTAATATATAATGATAAAATGTCAATCTACTGCCTAAATATTCCCACATTAAGGCATCCATGTCATCTAAAGGGCTTTTTCCACTTCTAAATGTTAACTCAAAGAGACATACAATGACAAAAATTGAATCTAAAGAGACTTATGTTGAGGTAAAACAACCTTTTTTATGACTTTTCCAAGTGAGCCAAGCACTCTCTGCTTAAATAGTCCAACTGCAGAAACAAAATGCTTCAGTTACAACACATTGGTATGGACCAAAAAATAACTGTTTTGTGACTCGATATCATTATAAAGGGTGGATAGACAAAGGGGGGAAAGAAGAGCGGAGAAAGGATGAGCATGTCGCAGTCTGTACGGTGCTGAAATGACGACTGGATCAGCGACAACTCGGACATCAACTGCTGTATCAGCAAGCACGACAAAAGGCAGAAGTTGTTGGTCTCTCACACCTGAGCTCCCGGAATCTTACCCAAAACCTGCAACAGAAACACAAGTGGGGAGAAAAAAATCTTAACAGTGAGCGACTAGATCCCCATAAATAAAGTCTAAAAAAGAAAAAAAAAAAGAAAAAAGACCCAAGGATATAAAACATTGACTATGGGTATCCAAATCGAAATAAAAATAAATACAAGGGGGTGAAACATAACAGCAGGTGACCGGAATCATTAAAAAAACATATAAAACCAACGATAGTATCCAAAATCATAATCCATTGTAGAGAAGAAAGCGGTTGTCTCAGACAAGTGAACATTTTACAGTGTCATTAAAATGTAAAAACCGCAAAGGGGGACTTGGGAGTTGGAATAGGTGATTGTCTTGGACAGGTCCCCTTTAGAGCAGGTTCGACTCTCTCTCTTTCTGTTTCTCTCTCTCTCTCTCACACATGCACGTACACACACACACATATAATGCACACCTCTCCCCCTATCTCAACCAGCACATGAGTTAAATTGCGAGAGAAAGACAAAACAAAACACAGCAACTCCCCCCCAAGTCCCCACCTACCTTGGACAAGTCGACGCCAGTGAGAGCCTGCACAGCGGGCGGCAGCTGACTGACCAGCCTGTTCACCTCACCGGTCACACGGTCGTCCCCGACCAGCACAATCTCATCCGTCTTGGACAAGGGAGCGGAAACCTCCGCAGCAATCTGAAACAGAAGATAAATTGTTGTAGTTGTTGTTGATAATGTCGTAGTTCTTGTAGTTCTTACTGCGGTAGTTGTTAATGTTGACTTTGTCAATTGTTGTAGTAGTTCGCGGGCAGTATTGCATACAGACATATCTCAAAGGCTGCCAAAAATGACGTACGTCTGTACGCCATAATACTGCCTGCGAGTTGTTTTTCTGGGGGTTGCTGTAGAAAAGAACACATTGTTTATATTTAAGTAGGTGCTTTTACACCAAATCAACACAATTTAGATTATTTAGGAGGAAAGCTTCAACCCAGGCAAGTGAAAGGGATACAACATCCCAGCAAAAAAGAGGGGGATATAACATCCAAGCAGACACTGATCTGGAAGAGTAGTAAATTAGGAATGCGTTTAATGTTGTTGTTTTTTTTTATGGCTACGAGTCAGAGCTTGAGCAAAAGAGAGGCTCATCCACATTATAATTGTCAGCTAGAGCAAGAGAAAACAGTCAACAACAATAGAGAGAAAAAAAAAAGAGAGTAAGATTTACCAGTGGCACTCTTCAACCACACGCAAAAATTTCTTCAGGCATTGGTCAATCTAAATAAATATATCATATACAGTCGAACCTGTGTAAGACGGCCACCCATTGTCAAGGAGAAAAGTGGCCGTATAAGAGATGTGGCTGTCTTAGGCAGGACTGATCAAGATGAAGAAAACAAACCATCCCTTTCTGATTTCCCAACCGAGGGTAGCCGCATTGTTGTTGTTGTTATTAGTTGATGTTTTCGCTAGGTTTTTTGTTTTTTTCTCTTTTGTTGCTGCTTTTGTGCAAGGGTGACAAAAAAACGAAGTGTCAGACAAGGAAGACAGAGTGCCATGGTAAAACTAACACATGGGTTGTCACCACTCGGAGAACGAGCGACACTTCTGCCGCAAGTTCATGTTGACGTCGATTGTTACTTTGTTATAGACCGGGTAAACAGTGACCACTCATCTCACGATTTGAGAATGAGTTCTGGGCGGGGCTTATAATGCGCTATGAGGGATCACACGCTTCCCTCACAAGCAGTTGAAAATTTATTGTTACCTATTGGTCAACAGTGGGAGGGGCCTACGCAACATGATCGGTTGGGGGGACTACCTAACAACAAACAGTTGATTGGACTATGACGGCTCACCCACAACGCCAGGGGCCAATGCATGATTTATGACAAAACATAATGGAGTCACTAAGGTGGCCATCTAAGACAGGTGTTATTGCTTGGTGCGATAAGAGTTGTGGTACAATAATGGTGGCTGCGGCCGCGTTGGACAGGTGGCCGTTTTACACAGTTTAATTATATAGAAAAAAAAGGACGGAAATGGAAAGTGGCCGTTTGAACAGGTGGCCGTCAGGGCAGGTTCGACTGTATGTATGTATATCACACTCCGTTTCTCTCTTTCTCTTTTACACAAACAGTCCACCTCAATATCTCTCTTCTTCCTTTTGCTCCTTCATCCCACCATCCCCTAACTCACTCAGTCACACACACTCTCTCTCTCTCCACCTCACCTTAGGCAAAGTCTCCATAACCAGATTCAACATGGCCGCCTCTCCGTACTGTTTGTAGGCTGCAGCCTTCAGCCTCATCCTCTCAGCCTCTGCCTTACCCACAGCCTCAATGGCCGCTGCCTCAGCTCCACCAATCAGACGGATCTTTTCAGCGTCTGCACGGGCTGCCTCAACTGTCTGGGTCCTGAAGGAGCAAAATGGTTGTTAGTTTAAGTACCAGTTTTACGGCACCTGCAAAACAATCATGCTGCATAAATGGCAAAGATTAGAAGTGTTACTAGAAAGAACCATAAAAAGAAAAGAAACAAGAGAAATAAGGACAATAGGTAGATAATTGACAGGTAAGAAATGGGGATTTTTCAGGGAAAAAAAGAAACAGGGCCAACCAGCTGCCCCCTTCAACATCAATGTCTTGAACAAACAAGATAGCCATTGTCCTCACTGAATAATATAATATACTGCAAAAACAAAAATGGGCCAAAAAAAAGTATCAATTATCAAAAAACCATCTGTTTATACCAGGTGGCAGGGCAGAATCCTAGTCAGGACTTTTTAAAGAGGGAGTAAAACAAGAACAAGCAAACAAATTTTTTGGTTAAATTCTTGGCATTCTAAAGGTTAGTAATTGCCAATACCCATGACAGCACAGGGACTGCAACTCGGGAAATCCTCTCCCAAGTAAGAACAGTGAAACAACAATCATTTCTGACAAAATTTTTCTCATGTCACTGTATTTTCCTCTAAGCCTCCCTCCGCTTTCTTCTTCCTTTCCTTATCTCGCATTCTTCTTTTTCTTTGTATTCTCTTTTCTCCTTTTCCTTCATAATAAAAAAACTACACTTGAATAGCCCTTCCTTTCCTTCTCATCCCCCTTTCTCCTTCATTTCCTTCTTATGCCCCTTTCTCCTTTTCTCTTTCTTATCCCCATTTTTCCTTCTTTTTCTTTTCATACCCCCCCCCCCAAAATTTTTTTTTGTTAAACCACCAGGAACCGACCTCTGGCCCTCGGAGACCTGTCCCATCTTGTAGGCCTGAGCCTCGGCCGGCCGTTTGACGGTAGCGATCAGCTCCTTCTCCTTCCTCATGATCTCCTTCTCCTCCACGTCGATCTGCTTGCGACGCTCCACAACCTCAATCTCCATCTCTTCACTACGGATCTGCTGCTTTTCCTTGGCTGCCTGAAGCTCGTACGCCAACTCTGCCTCTGCTCTCTGACAGGAACATTATAGAAGATATAAAATAAGATTTTACTGACATCTCCACAAAAAAGAAATTTGCTGCGGCATGGTAAATACACATCCATGCACATGTCATCACACACTCTCTCTCTCTCTCTCACTCACTCACACACACACATTATTTATATACGCAGATGCACACACGCTGAGTCATAGGATGGACATACAAAATGATGTTCTTTCCCTGCACCTGACAATAACTGAACAAAATAATTTTTTTTTAAATTCTCATTTTTTTCAATACCCGTGGTTTATGTCCGTTTGAGTAAAAGGAAGCACATCAACTCAATGTCGACTTTTTCATTGCAACTTCTTTAAGAGGACCAAATCGAAAGTTAAACCTCGGAAGTAGAGCTGGGCGTTGCTGTAATTACACATTCACTATAAATGCAGTGCTATTGGTCGTGTTTGAGTTATGTTTCATATTACGAAGCCCATCATTGGTCTTGTAAAATCTATCACCATATCCTGTCACTTAATAGATTTATTGCATCCATCACCCTGTCAGTTTGGTCTAATTACATCTACCAACATAGCCCACCCTGTTCTATAGTGGGGGAGGCACAACTTATCCTCAAATATCTCTTTAATGGGCGAATCAATGTCACCAACACTTTGCACAGTAGACTGTATCAATTTGTCTTAACTAAATCATATTTTTCCAGAACAATAGGGGCTAGATTAAAAACCTTTTCTTCATAAATTTATATAAAATACAGGGTGATCCCCAAAAAACTGTACAACTTGTTTTGTAAATACAATTTCCTCCACTGAAGTTTTGCATTTCAGATTTGAACAGAATATTTGGAAGCCAAAAGGAATTTGATGGTTTTGCTCTATACGGCGCCTTGCCCCATTTTCGTAGCATAACGCCACAGTTCACATTAAATCTATGACTTAAAGTTGCAACAATTGCGCCGTACTGCAAGCTACAGCAGTCTAACAAGTCAACAGAAGTCTGCAGATATCATTTTCCCCAAATTTTGTTCGACTGCTGAGATCCCGGTTAAGTTTAATAAGAAACAGATAGCTTTTTCTATTGAGCAGTACCTCTCCACAAACTCATCATCCCTGACATTTCGAAAGTTCTGAGCACGGTATGGAAATAATGCTTGGATGCCCTCAAGACCCTTGGTGTCATGAGTTGAGAAGTTCCATCAGTTTGGATCGATGGCGAATCAGAACTGAAAATTTCCATAAAAATTACCACTTCAAGTTGAACACACACCATGCGCAGCCCTTTAAACGTCACCAGGGTGCAGATTTCAGTAATCCAATCCCATGAGACGTCTGTTCCTCAACAGTCTGCATTCTCTTGGCAGATCTTAACCTAGGACTGTACCATTTTCATCTTCACTAGGCTGAGATGACATGGATCAGAGCACGGCAATGTGTTCATAATTCTTCAATTGTCTTGAACAGCGGGAACAGTTTTTCTATATTTGATTTAGTGCAAAGCCTATTTTCACTTTGCAAGATATGTTAAGATAACTCCAAAAAATGCTGTCAGTCGAGCACCCCACTCCCTATTGCCTCCAGAAGCCACTTGATACTAAATATTTACAGTGTATGTGGCTTTAAACACTCATGGTATAGCAGGTCCTCGTGTCTGGGTCATATTGAACATTTCAAACTACGCGTTAAAAATGTGGTGAGTCCAAAAAAGGGTATGTAGAGCACTGCTTCTAGGAATTCCAGGAAGAAATCGTTAGCTTTTTAGATTCTGTAGGAGAAATTTAATATTATTTACATGTTACTGGGACGGAAAATTAAATGTCAAAGAGAAAATAAAGAAAAAGGTCAACCAATCTTTTCATGACTTCCTTTAAAAGATTTTTACAAATTGATCAACTTTGCATTTTTGGGCGGTTTTTTCTTTAAGCCATTTCCATTTTCAAAATAAGTTTCTTCTTCGTGGGTTTTATGTCAAACAAATTCCTTCTGACAGAATTATTTCTGTTTCCAATTTCAGCATTCCAGAACAATTTTTGTGCGAGTTATTCAGGAAAAAAAATTGTACAGTTGTTGTTTTTTTGGATTACCCTGTACTAGAAATCTGTCATACGTAAAATGGAAATGCGCACAGCACTTCCCGCTTCTCGCACACATTTTGATTGCGCAATATGGCCTACGTCACAGTTCATCAATGACAATTTTTAGAGGCTAAACTTGTTATATGAAAATTAATTATAAAGTGAACACATTTTCTGCACTAAAGGTTCTCAAACCATGCGTTCAATAAGCATAATGTCCCAGTTAGAAAAACATTACGAACTTGCTATTAAAAGCAATATTTAAAAACATTTAAAAGTCTATAGAAACCAGCCACTTGGACTTTTTTTAAAAGTATTTATTAAGGAATTTTCTAGAATACAGCTAAGGAGTGTTTACAAAAATATTGATCTGTTAAGACAAATTGATACGAGTCATTGTGCAAAAAGGGGAGAACCTACTTTCGATACTCGATGAGACATTTGACAATAAGTTGCCACACGATCTTTTGACCTTATTATAATTACATCTATCAACAGAGCCTGTCCCTTAGGGCGCACTCACATCACGACAGACGACCTTATGAGGTTGCGAGGGCTGTAAAACGTATACCAAACTTAACAGCCACTTTGGTCTAGTCATATATCTATCAACATAACCTGTCACTTTGGTTTAATTACATCTATAAAAGTAGAATACTGGCAATGATTTAGGCACATAGTATATGTAAAGCATAAGTCTCTTCACACGTCAAGACAACCACCAAACACCATTTCCTGTCTCTGTGAGGCATATCTGCAATGCCACTGTGACTCCTATAATTATAATGAACGAACGTCTTTCACTAAAGCATCCACGACTCACCCTGGTGTTGACCTCCATGTCAAAGGCTGCCTTCTGCATCTGGTACTCCCTCGAAGAGTCGGCAATTTTAGCATCAGCCATAAACTTGGAGTCCATCCTCATCTTTTCACATTCAGCCTCCTGCAGGACAAATTACAAATATATCACCATGGTAATGACATAGTTGCCGAGGTCATTCTTCTTTGTTTTAAGAAAGCTTAAAACAAAAACCAACTTATACGAAAGTTTACCGTATAACTGAAACAAAAGTAAAAATGTTTCAACATTTGGGATTTTTTTTTACACGAAACAACATGTTGCTGTATTGATGATAAGTAACAAGTATCATTCATTTTTATTATACCAATAACTAGAAACCTAAAAAAAACCTAAAGGTGATAGAATTACCACTTTCATCTGTCTCATAATGTGATGAAATGAAGATGGACAAAGAGACAAAGACAAAAAAAAAACAAAAAACCCTGAACACTTTACCCTGATGCCAGCGTCTCGGTTAGCCTCAGCCACACCAATGTCGGCATCTCTCTTCACGTTAGCCGTCTGGGCTCGGCCGAGCGAGGTTAGGTACTCCACATTGTCGAAGATGTCTTTGATGGTAAAGCTGAGGATCTCAATTCCCATCTTTCCTACGTCTGGAGCGGCGACCTCACGGACCAACTGGGCAAACAGATCTCTGTCCTGGTAAATGGCCTCCACGGTCAAGGTACCTGGGAAAAAAAAAATGTAAGTGGTTTACACCACCATCGACGAATGTCCCACACTGTTAGATCTCCAACAGCATCTTCTTCCTCCTACTCCTACAAGAGACAATATCTTATACAGCAGCAAAAAATAGATGTTGAAGACCTCCGTCTTTTTATTACGGCATTGAGCTGAAGGGCACACACCCAAAGGCTATTAGATCAACAATAACACCATCAACACAATTTCGATCATATAGGAGCCAACTGCTCAAAATAGCTGTCATATAGCCTTCCAGAAGGTACCAAATTAATATACTTTTACATTAGCTATGAACATACAGATACAAATGCACATATGTAAATCACAATGCTGATACAATTACCTTAACAGTTCACTGAAAGCCCACAAGTTGCTGGGCAATGAAAAGCTCAATGTGCTGACATGACCTGCCGCAAAAACACACACAGATGGAGACACGCAGACATAAGTATGCACACACTGCCACACCAAGACAAATAAATCACAATTACCCAAAATAGCTCTCAGATGGCCTTCCAAAGTCTGCAAGATGACATGTTCAATGTGCTGAGGAGATTTTCCCAAGAACTGCTCACAAGCTTTCTTCAGGATGTCCGGTGCTCGCATGATCTTGCACTGAGCGACTCCAGTGACGGTGATTGGGACACCCTCTTTGGTCTCCACACTCTCGCACTGAGGGTTCAAGGTCATCACCTCAAGGGAGATTCTGTCGAGGAAGATTTTGTATAAGTTTAATTAAGGAAAACAAAACAGGCAAGTGTTTAAAATGAAGTTCAAGTTAAGACATAAAAAAAGGAATTTAAAAATTGTTCGCAAATTTAAGCAGACATTATATCTAATTTTGCATACTATGTTAATATTTGTATAAAAGTAAAATTGAAAACATGGTTTAACAGTAAAGCTGTATTATACTTTATTTTCATGTTTCCTATAAAAGTGATCCAAGTATTATTTAACTTCAAAGACAAACACGGTAATGAAGCTAGGAATGCCCTTATCTTTATACACATAGTTGAAAGAATCTATTTTTTACCGCTGAGATTTGACTGCAGGCATTATTGCAAAATCTCAAGAATAAAGTCAGGCTCTGCAGACAAAAGTAAATCCTTCAAATTGCAGAGATCAATGCCCCAATCAAAACCGATGCCAGGCAGTGGCATTGGGTAGTGAAACTGAAGGGCTTGAGACCCCCTCCCCACCCCAAACTCTATCCCTAAGTAAAGGACAATTTTTTAAATAACCAAAAAAGCAGTTGTAACTGTTATGGACGGATGTGACTAACACATGTCAGCTTGCTCAGTCAAAACTGTGTAAGACGGAATCAAAGGGAGCCAGAAAAAACTTCCGTCTTAGACATTTTCCTTCTTAGACAGAGGAATTTAGTGGGGAAATTAGGGGGGTTGGGGGGTCGTCAAAGGCCCAGCTGGTGGGATCAAGGGTCACTTGTCCAGTCGACAAGCAGTCACAAGTGGTTAAAACTACACACCTCTCAGCTGCTATATTCTCTGATAATGACAGGCGTCAGTCTTTCTAAGCTAATTACCACCAGTGCTTGCATTTCATAGGACCACTGTTTGACCTATTAAAAACAGAAACGTTTGAACATCTCTTTTGCTTCCACCCTTAGCCTCACCCATCGATGTAATTAAGCACAGTAAACCAATGCTATCCCTCAATGCAACGTAACAATGATTCGAAGAACTCTTTTCTCGACTGGCTGTACGATCAGGGCGGCAGGAATTGGTCAACTAATTTCACACCTCTAGCCTCTGACTACCAATGAAAGTTTCTGTGCTGGAGCGCCACTTGAGCAATTTCACTGGCACTCGTGAGATTTCACACTGATACCACTCTGGGGTAACATCAACCCTCAAATTGCATCTGTACTCCCCTTCCTCATCCGGCACCATGGTGTTAAGTTTGGAGCTGATGGAACCAAACTTGTGAGTTTTGTTTCTAATCAGAGTTGGAAGGCAAAGCATTTTCCATCTTAGACAGGTAAAACCCTCAGAAGGGAGCGGATTTTCCTTTGCGTTTCCGCATTTGACAGGTTTCGGTTTTATACAGGTAATTAAAGAGGAATATATCAAGAGGGGAGCCGGGAAATTCCGCTAAAGACAGGTTTCCGCTAAGGCAGGTTCGACTGTACTTTATATCCAATCACTGTCGTCACTGCTTACAACCGTTTAACAGCCAATGAAATGCCTATAGGGCTCAGCAAAGGATGCGGCCGTTCCCACAGTCCTTCCTTAATGAAACTCTGCATGTAAAAAGGTAGAAGATTTGAATAAAAGAACACTGTACAGAGGGCTCACGCTCTCCTAGCCCTAAAAATGGGGTAAAAGTTTACGACACACTTTCCCCAGTGACACAAGATACCAAAGCGCTCATTGCACCTTCGTTAGGTGAGTTTTACTTTCCACGACCAGGCCTACACTGCCTAATCCAGTTCATAGAAAGGATTCTATTTGAAAAGCATTGTGTGCATGTTAATGCAATGTTCATGATTTTTGCCGCTGAGATTTAACAGTTATAAATCAAGTCGAACCACTTTTAAGGCGACTTTCTCATCAGAAAAAAAATAGGAAAAGTCGGACTTAGAACAAAAAGACGGAAAATGAGACAAAGGTGACTCTTGTCATCTGAGTGGGTCTCAAAATGCTGTGGCTCACCGTGAGTATAGAAAAAGCATCACACTGTTTTGTTCTTTTATTGTTTCTTATTTGACAAAAAAGAGGAGGATGCAACTTAAACCTCACCCAAATTTTGATCCACCCACAACCACTGATGCCAACAATAACAAACACACTTACGACTGTGTGTCAGTGACCAGCCACCAGGCCCATCCCCAGCCTCCAATGATGTACTTTCTCCCCTCAGCGCCACAGCAGCCACCTGAATAGTTGAAAGAAAAGAGAAAACAGGTCAGCCTACATTTATAAATAATGTGTCACCAAGTGGTGGAATCAGGTGCTCGTCAAGTTTTGGGCATACATAGATTTATTATATCATCTTAAAGCTTGTTCATTTGTCCTGCATTTGGCCAAAAGAAATACCCATCTATCTTGAAAAAAAAGTTGAGATATTTGCAATTGAAGGAGGTGGGGGTTGACAGGAAAAATTAGCCAGAAAATGACTGCCTAAGTTTAGGACTTCCAAAGCATGAGTGTCCTGGCAAACTGGAAATATACATTTTTCGTGCCTTCAATGAACGTTTTTCGGTACTATCCACACAGAAATGTGTTTTTAAATGGACACAAATTATTTTTAATTAAAAAGAACTTCCCCAGAAGCCAGAAAAATGCAGATTTCTTTGATTTCATCATTTTGACGAGCACCTGATTTCACAATGCTTCACATATAAAATTATATTTCAGGTCATAATAATTAAATAAGGAATGTGTAGTACTTTAAAACCTAGCACAGGCTGAATGGAAAAAAAAAAAAAAACAAGACTGAGCTTCACTCATTGGTGGATAAAGGCTGGGATAAAACAAAAGGCTGGCCCAAAGCTGCTCCTGTTGGAATCAATGTCATTTTTGCTTTGTAACTTGTTGACAACTTGCTTAGCTTGTATAGTTATTATCAGACACGCAATATTTCAAAACAGACTTTAATTGGTCTTTTTCCAATCCATTTGGGCTTAAAAAATATAAACAAATACAATAAATTATTAATAAAATAAAATTTCCTATTATCGTCCAATCCCTACCACTGAGAAATAGAAATGGGGTCACCGTAGCATATATATGTCCCAGTATGCAAAAACCACTAACAATAAATAAAAATGAATTCATTTAAGGTGAGGCTTTCTAGTATTAGACTATTAGTATACACTCAATAAAGAGAAAAAAATTCAATATTAACTATTTACAATCATTCAAAATAAATTAAGTGAAATACTGCCTCACAGGAAAAGAGGTTACCACATTGCAGCAGAAAAAACCCCACAGCTATTGCTTTGTTCACTGTGCAACAAATATTGCGCAATACAGTATGTATACAGATCCTGTATTTCAGCTTAGACAGTCAGGCCCTTCAAATTGATAAAGCCTGAAAAGCCATTGCGCAATACACGTTTTTCTGTTCAGTTGGACTTGCAGAGATCTAAGCACGAAGATAAAAAAATGCTTGACAAAACAACCTTCCACATTATAAGAAATTAAATACATGATGGTTTTTTTCGTTGGTGTGCATGTAGCAATATTAGTCAAAAGTCCAACCATTACAGAGTGCAGTCTGTCCAAGCTATCAATGCCATAAAGCCAACTTATAAATGGCTAAACACTTAACATAGTAAACACATGTCTCAAACCACTGCAAAATATCTTTGGACAGTCACATTAAATGATCCTTCTTGAAAGGACTAATATGGATAGGGAAAGGGCAGTAATTCAGTTTTATGGCTGTCTCTCATCCTCAGAAGATGAAGATTTATTACCTCCCCTTTAATTTACTTCTTCACTCTACAGATTATTGCTGCTGATAAATTATAAATTGATCACAACATTCTATTTTCAACTCGCGCCCAGTCATATTGATAGCTCATAAGTCTACTACTTAAAAAGAATCTAAAGTTGATTCAGATAATTCAATTGTTTTTTGTTGGGTTTTTTTTACACAGCTTTGCATTTATTTCAGAATAGCAAAAACTGCATCATGCAAGAGCCCTAAAATGCTTTAATTTAAAATGTTGCTCTCAGGCAAAGGCTGTTCTTTTTAAAACTAAAATATTAGTCAATTGCCTGGGACCCGGGTCAGATTGAAATTGACAAACTTGATCTCTCATCCTGTCTTATGGCTTGGTATAGTATGCTCTGAGTCTAAATAGTCTAGAATGCAAGGCAGGGAATGCAAAGAGATTAAAACTACTTCAAGTCAAGTAGCCTAAGTCAAGTAGTAGACAAGTTCACCAACACATTTAATTAAATTAGTATCACACCCTTCCTATCAGTAGGCCTATACAGGGCTTTTTCTATTTCTAATCTTTAAATTTACGTTTAGGCTTCTTCAAAGGAAACATCTCGACAACAAGTATTAAGTTATGATGATCTCTTCTGATCGCTTCATCATCTCCGCATGAAGAAAATCCTGAAGCCAACACACCCAGCAGTGCCACAACCACTTCACCTTACAACTTACAGTGTTTACTAGAACTAGATCTACTTCAAAAAGAAGAGTTGATTCTGACTCTAAACCTGCAGCAACCTGAGAACCAAGGCCAAGGCATTTCCTCCTCGTAGTCACAGCTGACTTGGTCACAAATAAAGGTGTAAACCCAAATTAATTGGTTCTCTACTCAAGTTAGATCTAGTTAGGCCAGACGGTAAAAAATGCAGTCTGCTTTGGCACTAGATCTAGATTCTAGAGATCCAAGCCTGTAAGCTCTGCAAATGGACTATTTTTAACGATTTACTGCAAATGTTTTGCCTTTGGCCTTGGCTTTTCATTTTCACCTTTTCCTTTCATTTTGATGTTGAGCATTCATTAGGCCTAGATCTACATAGACTCTAGATCTAGATCTCTAATTAGGATACTGATCAAAACAAAAAAACTCATGATAGCGTTAATTACGACAGAGTGACGTTGTGACAACTAACGCTGCGTTAATTGCAACAGAGTCAGAGTGACTCTGTGACAATTAATGCAGCGTTAATTGCGACAGAGTGAGTCTGCCAAGAAAAACAAACACACACACGCACTCACATACCCTCTCTCTCTCTCTCACACGCACACACACACATATACACGCACACACACTGCACACGTTTGTGGCCTTACGCGCACGCACACACACACACAAAACTAACTAACAAAGACAGTCGCAGCTCTTTTCTTGTTGTTGTTGTTACTGTGGTTGCCCCTGGACCCTAGCGGTTTATGTTGCTGTTGTATGCTGCTGAAGTTTTCTTGTAATTTGTTGCCTCAATATCTGGGCTGTCTATAGATCTAGATCTAGATCTAGATCTATATATCTAGATCTAGATCTAATGTGTAGGCCTACCCTACAGATAAGTCAACGTACTCTATCTACTGTACAGAAAGTCTTTGTGGATTTTTGATACACACTTTAGGCTCCTCAACTGTTTCAGATGATTTCTTCCTAAAGGCAACAAAATTTTCATCTTTAAATTGTGCAAAAAAGCTTTGTCAAATTCGTCGTAAGATCTTTAAGATTTGAATGCCTGCTCTAGAAAGCCTTGGACTTGGACCACCACGCTGGGAAGCAAAGCGGAAATGGCAGATCTAGAATCTAGATAGCGTTAGATTCTGCTAATAGTGTAATTCTAATCATCAACGTAAAAGAGCTCTTTAGTTCACTCTGTTGCAATTAACGCAGTGTCAGTTTATTAGTAGTCACAGTCACGGCGTCACTCTGTCGCAATACCAGGCCAGCAGTTGCTAATAAATGCTATTCTGCGACACTGATCTAGATCTAGATTTAGATCTAGATCTAGATCTAGAATCTAGATCTAGTTGGCATAGAATAAAAGCTAAATCACATTTAAAAACAAACAATTTACTTAACAGCATAGATCTAGGCTATCATGAACGAGATCTAGGATCTATACTATGATAGAGGGCTGCTAAGTCGCTAAGTGGCTATTTTCAGTAAGTCAGTGCAGAGTCTGTAGACTGTAGTCTTGTTGACTTGTCAGTAAAAGTAAAAGTATGGCAATCGGCAATGATGCCAAGGCCAAAGGCAGGGTTGAAGGAGCAACATTGACTATGAATGCATTATGTGCACATTAAATTCCAAACATACCTGAAATCACAAGGGCTTCGTTTGGTCCAGTGGTGTGAATGTTACCCATCTTTAGGTCAGAATGTGCTGCAACTGTGAAAGTATTTTGCAATGTAAAATTCCTGCAGATATTTATAAACAACCTGCCAAACCCACCGAAATCTCGTTTGTACGAGAAAGTACGATAAAACTTGTGAACGCACAATTTTAATGAAAACAATGTTTTACCAGTTGACTTAAAGATCAAACACATCAACAAGACAAACTATTGGGATTGGAAGAATATCTATTCAAATTAAGAGAAAAATAAAGATTGATTTCGAAGTTTTCCTCATTTTCCCCAAATGTGGTACCAGGTTGCATTGTTAACTATCAGTAGTGAAAACTTGGCCTCTGTCAGAAAATTCCCCTAGAAATCTATTTGAACTAAAATACAGGGAAATGAAGTTGGATGGATGTTTTAACTGTATTTATAACTCATGTGTAATGATAAATTGGCTATCCATATCCCTTATTGTGATTTTTTTAAAAGAAAAATGAATAATTTACTTTCACAAAAATGCGTTACAGTTTGATTTAAGTGATTACATGGTAATTGTCTGGCAATACTTCCGGTGAGATGAAACGAGATTGGACACAGAAACAAGAACTGTTGAAGCAACGATACCGATACTTTATATCGATATTGAATATCGACAAAGAGTGTTTAATTAGTTTTGAGATCATTTTTGATATTCAAAATGCCTGCAGGTAGTTAATATCAGATTTATGGCAAAAGACAATCCCCACCAAAGACAATAGATTCTAGGCCTAAGCGGAGACTGAGTTTGTCCTGCTGGAACGCTGTTTGAAATATCGATACTTTTTTATAAAGTCAGTTTCAGTGTCTCAAACTCGATTACAATATCATTGTGAGAGAGAAGCACAGGCGAAGGGAAGTTGTGTAGGGCAGTCTTCGTTTTGTTGTAAATTGAAACATTCTGACTGTTGGTATGTATCATGAGTAATTCTGGTAGAAACGTATTTTTCATATTGATTTCATTGGAACTGTCCAGATATCCTTTCTTAAATCTCTTATTCTCATTTGCCTTTGGTTGAGTCTATCAACTCAAGTATCAGTGTCAATCACTCGAACTACCAGCCCACACTCCACATACAACTTGACAAAATATAAGTGTGTGAGTGGGCTGCGCAGTTTACTTGTTGGCAATTGCTCATCGTTTTCAGACTATTCTGTCCTTCTTATGTGTAAAGAAATTGATATACTGGACATTATGCTTAGAACCGGTAGTCATACATTTTGAAGTACTAGAATCTAAATCTAAGTAGATTCTAGTAGTGTATATGGCTAGATCTATTGGGCCGAAGGGGTGAGAATAGAAATACGATCGACCTCTCACCCCGTGTGAGACTTGCCACCGTAGGCTATTCTCAGGCACTACTTGGATATGGTGGTCCCGACTTGTGAAGATCTAGATCTAGATCTACTGAAATAACGATACTGATTTAAATAGTCGGTATCAATGTTTTATGTTTTATCAGTAGCCTAGATCTAAATCTAGCCTACAAAATGAGCAGTAAAATTTCACTTGTTTTTCACAAGGCACATGGGGTTCCCCCCCCCCCCCCCCCCCCCCCGACCTAAAAAAACCCATGGGGCTGGGGTGTTTCAGGACAGGGGGGCATGCCCCCCTGAATTTGACCATGATTATGATTCGATGTTTTGCAATTAGGTTTGAAAGTCCATCTCTCCATATCGGCACGCGAATCAAAAGTAATCGTTTAGACTTAGAACCAGAAGTAATCGTCGTTGGTGTCAATACTAGATTCTAGATTTTCCCTGTCACAAAAGTCGGGACCACCATATCCAAGTAGTGCCCTATTCTCACCCGGTGTGAAACAAGACCTGTTTTTCCTAATTTCGGAATACTTTCTATCGATGTGGATGATCAAATGGATAAAGGCAAAGAAAAGACAAATTTTATCGACTACAAAGATGCTATGATGGCTATTTCACTTTTTGAATCGAGCCGAACTACGGGGGTCGCCATTTTGTTTTGCCTGGAAGTTCTCGAAAGATCTACTCCTCCCCTCTTCTCTCTCTCTGTCTCTTTCTGAATGCTGTTTATCATCTGTGTGGACGATCAAATTGACCAAAACAAAGTTAAAAAATGATGTTAAAACACAAAAGTAAATTAATTTGGTCGTCTACAAAAAGATGGTACGGCTATTTAACTTTTCGAATCGAGCCGAACTACGCGGGTCGCCATTTTGTTTTGCCCGGAAGTTCTTGCGCTACTCCTCTCTCTCTCTTTCTCCACTGCCCACAGACAAAATTGTACGCTTTTAGTAGGCTAACAGTAGTAACGAAACGTTTGTTCACGGCACAGAATTCTACAATTGGTATTTTTTTACTTTCCCTCCCGTCTCACACTCAGCTACCAGTTGTCCATTTTCTACTAAATATTGATGCGCTGAACACGAATATCAACTTCATTTCCATCGCAATTTAATAGTTTTTGAAATATTTGATTGTTTTTAACCGAGATAGACATGCTTTGGACCAATCGGGGGGTTCCAGGGGGGCCTGCCCCACTGGGGTAAAAGAAAATCTGGGGGGTTACAGGGGGGTTTTTACCCATAATTTTATATTTTACAGTCAGATTTGAAATTGTCTTGAAAATAATTGATTTGCGACAGTTTTAGTGGCTTTATGTGTGATCTGCAGCAAACAGTACAGCAGTTTGACCCCTGAAACAGTGCATCTGTGTGCGGGAGTGAAAGTAAAAATTTACCCTACAATTTTTCTGTTATCACAGTGTAGAATTCTGTAGTTTAAGGTGAGCGCAAAATTGGTTGGCCTAGATCTAGGCTATATAACGGTGAACGCGCACCGGGTGAGAATAGCCAAAAGACTCGCCTGCACTATTCTCACCCGGGGTGAGAATAGAGGTGGCCATCCAGACCCGGTTACCGGGAACAAAGTCACGAAGTATACAGACCCAGTAGGTGAACTCTTTTGTGATTTCGGGAAGTTTCAGCCCTCAGACCCGGTAGAAATCTTTTGTGTGTGTGTGAGAGAGAGAGGGGGGGGGTGCTAGCGAAATGTATATAAGACATTCCCCAGTTGGCAGGAGGGAACGAGAGAAAGATAGAGTGGGAAAGTGTCTATGTTATATCATGCTTAATCTAACTCTCGCTCTCGGAAGTTCTGTGACTGTTGGCTGAATAGACAGCGCGTCTGCGTTTGAAGTCATGCAATGATTTTAGGAGCGGTTCGATCCCGGTCCCTGACAGTTTTTTGTTTTTGGAAGAGGCTAGCCGTACTTAATGACAATGACGGCTAGATCTAGACTGGCAGTCTAGCCGTACTAAGTTAAGTACAGCTAGACAGCAGGGCTAGCCGTACATATTCTTAATGTGATGGCTAGACTGACCATAAAGAAAAGGTAGTGTCAATTGCCACCGAGTGACGCGGTGTCAAGTCTCAAAACAACATTATCTTTAGCAATACATAATGATAATGTGTGTCTAATGGGTCAATTTGTTCTCAACTAATTGGACAAGCATCTAGTCTAGAGCTACGGTACCAACTTGGCGTGTTTTCAATTAGACGTAGGCCTAGATCTAGGCATATAGGCTAGCCGCCTTAGCCTACACTTTGGTGTAGAACCAACACAGGCAATTCTAGAAGTAGAAGGTCACTAAACGCACACAAACTCAGGCAGAAATTCACGTTATATCGGGGAACATAAATCGGGGGATGGGGGGTCAGGAAAAGACATACACACACACACACACACACACACACAGAGGGACAGAGAGGCGAACGCACAACACCGAGCACTCGAGCACAATAAGCTAGATCAAACCCACCAACGCAAAAGAGCTCCAATTTACTCGGTGGCAATTGACACTGCCTAAAAAAAAATAGGCCTACTGAATTGTAAATATAAATTTTTAGTTTGCAGTACCTAAAGTATTTGTATTTGAGACGAAACCAGGTGCCTTAATGACAGTGCATGTATTTTAAACCTCATGTTTTCTAATGTTAATAGGGCCTAAGATAAGTAAGGCTAGACTGTCAGGCTAGCCGTACTTAATATTGATGGCTGAATTGTAAATGAAATTTTTAGTTTGCAATGCCTAAAGCATTTGTATTTCAGACAAAACCAAAAGGTGCCTTACTGACTTGCATGTATTTGAACCTGAATAATTACTAGATCTAGATCTAATGAGACCTGTGTACTTAACAGGTTTGAGTCGATAGGGCCAAACCTAGATCTAAGTACGGCTAGATCAAGATTAGGCCTGTTGTCTGTAAAGAGGCTATGGGGCCTAAATAAATTTTGACTCTCCGAATGCCAAATGGTTTCCGTTCTCGAGATTTGTTGATAATAATTGAGAATTGAGTGACCCGTGAGTGTACTTGTGTGTGTGTGTGTGTGTAGGCCTAAGGTGTGAACGGGGGGTGGGGGGGGGTGGAGGGATATTTTTCGAAGTGACTTTTCGGACTCGAGTCCGAAAAGAGAAAAATTATATTCAGCATGATGTCCGTTCTGACTTCCAACCTTTGTTCCTAAAGTTGACAGCATGTATGAACGTTTTTTCGATTATAATGATAACAGTCGAGACAAGCTTAATTATCTTTTACATCTTGTATAAGTATACTTACGACCTTAGAGCATGCATCAAAATAACATTGAGTGTGTATCTATAGCTTACTTGTTTATATTGCTGCTCATTTATATTATGCATGTGATTGTAAGCTTACGTGTGTGTGTGTGCACGTGGTGAAACACCAAACCAATGTGCCAGGATCTGGACAAATAAAGATGTATCTTATCTTATCCAGTTACTTGATCTAGATCTATCTGAACTGGCCCTCCCTGCATCATTGGTATGAACAGAACAACTATGTTGAGCTGACCTTGCCGAGGAGCAGAGTTAATTTATGTCGACCAATGGGATTGCGCGTAGCGATATCACACTCTCGGCTTGCAGGGGGAAGAGATGTTGGGAAGAGACCACAGCTGTCGGTTTTCTGCGATGTGATTAAAAAGAATAATTTTTTTAAAACTATTACACACAACAAAATGAAATTAAACATGTGGAAAGACAAACAATGTGTGCACAAGTGCCATGCACCATTGCTGAATTCTTAATTTGCATGAAGCCTCAGTTGTAGTTCAAAAAGTACAAAAAATATGGACTGACAGTGACACGACACTTTAAAAAAGAATGTGTGTCTCAGTGGGGATTATGATAAAGACACTTTTTAGTTTTAGTCAATACTTCTGTGAAGAAATGAACATCTAGGAATAGCACATTGCTGTTTTGAGGACACAAAACCCGCTTGAATGGATGATTGTTGTCAAAGGAATGCATTGATGAAAGTACAAAGTACATCATGTACTACATGTGTATGTATCTTGAAGGAATATGTGTGTATTTCATAATATTGTGTGTGTGTTTATCTGACGACGTTTCTCAACGAGTGTAATTTTTAAGCGTAGGCATTTTTGCTTATGCGGATATCAGGTTTTTGAACCTGTCATTACTTTCACCCATGGTTTCGAATTTTATTAAGACCAAAAAATATTTCAAACACTTCATTTACAACGAATATAAAGTCAATTATTCCGCATCCCTGACGCTGTCGAAAGATTATTCAGTTTTTCACTCACCCTTCCGTCCCTTTTTCTCTAATAATAATATTTTCATTCTCTGAAATTTCTTAAATGAGAAACAGAACTAAGATAGATGGTTGGGAATATTTGTGAGGCATCATGGTGAGTTCAAGCGCTCGTCAAAATAATGAAATCATAGAAAATGGCAATTTTCTGTCTGTTCAAATTTTTGTTTTCTGGCTAATTGTCTTTTTTATGCTCTGGTAAAAAAACATATTACTGGAAAACGTTGATTAAAGGCACAAAAAAAGTGTAAATTTTTAGTTTCCAAGGACTCTCAGGCTTTGGAAGTCACCAAACTTTCACGGCCATTTTCTTGGTAATTGTACCTCTGAAACCAGGCGACCTCCGCCTCATTCAATTTGTGGCTTCTATTCAAGATAGATGGCTATTTTTTCTTCGAAAGGTAAACCTTCATATTCCCAAAAATTGACGGGCGCCTGATTCCACCATGTCGTGATACATAATTTGTATTCAGTAGTCATCAATGCAAGTTGAAAACTGTCTAAGATTATCAGGAATGAAACAGGCCCTAAGCACTGTACAATCATTAAAAGTAGACATTACGCACACATACACACAAAAACAAATTCTATGAAGCGAATATAATTGTGATATTTATGGTCTAAAAATGTGGGTTTTAAAAGACTTTGTAATTTCTATTTCTCTCAGTTTTTATGGGAAAGTGTTCCACGTTTCAGGGTCAGCAAATGCAAAAGATTTCTCGTCATATACACATGACTTGGACTTAAATTTGGATATTATATATTCTTTAAATCTAGACTAAATTCTTTGCTTGTTCCAAGTCCAGAACTATAAATGAATCCCACTTCATTTTAATTCAGTTGTTTTACCACTTTATTGATTAATCAAATATATATTTTCTTATCTTTTCAGGAAAGCGGAAATAAAGAACTGCCATCATGAGTGACATGAGCGACTTAGACAGGTATGCTTTTGCACTGCACTGAATGCTTTCACTTTGGCATGTCGCCATAGTTAATTTTTAATGTGAAAGAAACAAATGCCTCTGCACTACATATAAGTGAAGAGAGTTTTTCCTGCTGGCAGTGCTTCCGGTCTTCCACAATTTTCTGGTTATCTTGTTTGAAGACATGCTGCAGCAGACAAATCACAAAATCTATCTCGCTTCATATCAGCACATTCTGCATTGTCTCTTATTATACTACTTACAGCTTTTTACATGTGCTTGCAGTCACCTGGATATAAATCATATATTTGGTACAGAGTTACATTTTGTGTACAGTTGTGTAGTGATGAAGGGGGTTTTATTTGATGGAGTAAAGTTTTCTAAGTCTCTCTGTGTGACTTGAAAGTTGATTCACTACAACAATTGGTCAACAACGCAAAGTTAGAATATATAATATATAAAAATGTAGCAGATCAAAGTCTTATGTAAAATAAAGCAGACAGTGTCATGAGATTCCGCAGTTGAACATTCAGGAGGTTATAAGCTCAGAATACAGAGACAGTGAAATATTTGACTGAAGTGTTTCTTCTTCTTCTTCTTCTTCTTTTTCTTCTATCCTGTGGTTGGGGCAACTGTTGGGGCACCACTGCATTGGAAAACCAGCTCTCGCCATCTATTTTTGTCCTCTGCTCTCCTCAGATTGTCACCCATCGACTTTCCTGTCCAATCTGTAATGTTGTCCTCCCATCTCCTTCTCTGCCTTCCTCTCTTTCTCTTTCCTTGTACGGTTCCTTGCAGGATTGTTTTGGCAAGTCCTGTGGATCTTGTGACATGCCCATACCATTTTAGTTTTTGTCTCTTCACTGTGGTCAGTAGATCTTCATATTGTCCCACTGCGTTGGTGATTCTCTTTCGTACTTCAGCATTTGAAACGTGGTCTTTGTACGAGATGTCAAGGAGTCTGCAGTGTGTTTACTATATCTATTTTGGGAGCTGTCTTTTGTGATTAGATAAAACACTTGTGTTGACCTTTGGTTTTAATTTTCCGTTGGTTGTCTCTTAGAATTTAATTTTTTTGTGTGTGTTAGGATATTGTAAATAATTCACTCTTTTCTTTGTCTTCAGACAAATTGAGCAGCTACAGCGGTGTGAGGTTATCAAAGAAAGTGAGGTGAAGGCATTATGTGCCAAAGCCAGAGAAATCTTGGTAGAGGAAGGCAACGTGCAGGCAGTAGACGCTCCAGTCACAGTAAGTAGTGTTCTGTCGTGTTTGTGAACTTAGCCGAATGGTTATTTTAGTAAATGGAAAGGTGAAATGTCTTGCGTCTATGATCCTAGATACCTTGAATGAAAAAATATATCACAGGCCAGCCAGCTGTCCCAATTTTTTCTGGACTTCCCTGGATTCAGCAATCATGAATTTTTTTAGCCTTTGTCACACACCCAGGAACAGATGCAAGCAAAGACTTCAGTATTAAACAGCATATCGGAGTCTGTTGGATTGAGGATCCACCCCGGAAAGTCAAAGGTCCTAAGGACAGATGCACAATGAAAGGAGCAGGTCATAGTAGAAGGAAAGGCACTAGAAAACGTTGAATCCTTCTGCTATCTTAGGAGTATAATTGACAGAGAGGGAGGAACAGGTGCTGAAATAAAGTCCTGCATTAGAAAGACACAGGCTGCTTTCATATCTTTAGATATCTCACTTCGAACAAAGCTGTCCCACTTGATGTACTTGTGTTCATTGTTCATGTTGTAACGTAATCTGATGTCATAAAGTTGGGTTCCTCTGATTGAATTTTGAAAAGGTTATAATCTGAATTTTTACAAAGTAGGAGACTAAATTCATGTTAGTATTCCTTTGTGTAAACAAATCTTTTGTGAAATTTACTCAGGTACCGTGTTAATCCTTGTCTTTGACTTGGAGTCAGTATCAGTTTACTCAGTGACTCCGCCAGTGTGACTATCCACAATTTCATTTCTCCCTGCCCACCTATTGCTTTAGTCTATTGATGATGTTGGAAGTCTGTGGGTCATCTGGCTTGACCATTCTTTCGCACTAGATGGAGGTAAATCAGAGCTGTTTTTTGCTGTTTGTGGGAAGGCACGTCTTGTTGTTGAACTTTTCTTTCACTCAATTGCCTGTTTCTCTTCTCTTTTTTTTTTTTCCTGAACTCAGTTTAGCTAGCTATGATGTCAGTACGCTTCTCTGTATACATCATCAAAGCTAGGCATTGATGAATAGGCCATGTGCCTTTCTTTTCCAAGTTAGAAAAATGTAAATCTGATCAATTTTTCCCCCACAGGTATTTTTTGGCTATTTACTTACTGCTTGGGTTAGCAGTTCTTTTTTGCTTATGCTTTTCAATTAGACTACTCTGAGATGCTTTTTGCTGAGGGTTTTCCCCACTACATATAGTCCTGGAAAAGTCTTTCAAAAATGGTTCAGATAGGTGTGAAGTCCCAGTCAGCATAGTTCTTTCAATGAATTATTGATTAGTGTAATGTAGGGAGAGGAGGGCCATCTGTCTTCTCATTGAACTAGTTCTGTATAACATGAAGTGCTTCTGTTTGGGGGGGGAAAAAATCCAGACTACCTATGAAATGGTAAATAACATTATGAGTTTACCCTGTTCAGTCCAAATTTGACTTGGGGGGGGGGGGGAAGTTGTTGGGTTTTAATTGTTATGTCACGTTTGAGTTTATGTTTTGTCATATAGATTACAGCCATTTTTTTTTTTTTCGTGTTGACTCACGTTCTGATTTCACTCTGTTGCAGGTATGTGGTGATATTCATGGGCAGTTCTATGACCTCAAAGAATTGTTCAAAGTTGGTGGCAAAGTTCCAGAGACAAACTATTTATTTATGGGTGACTTTGTAGACAGAGGATTTTACAGCGTGGAGACATTTTTGCTGCTGCTGGCCTTGAAAGTGAGTCTACCTCTGTGCACTTTTCATTCTTCTTTCCTAAAATTGCTGGTGGTTGGAAGGCACCCTCTGCAGGTCTCTATTTTTTGTCTTTCTTTCTTTCCCACTATTTTTTCTTACCATTTGTGACAAAAAGAAATGATTATCTTTTTCAGGAATTAACATTTTCGGGGCAGTGGAAAGCTCCTTTCATTCTTTGGGTTTTTTTTTAAGGGGATGTGTGGCTGGGAATCAGTGGCTAAAGAGGAATTATTGTGATTTTGTTAAGATAAGATAAGATACATCTTTATTGTCCAGATCATGGCACATTGGTTTGGTGTTCCACCACGAGTACACACACACACACGCGCGCGCGCACACACACACACACGTGCACACACAAGTAGGCTTACAATCACATGCATAATATAAATATGCAGCAATATAAACAATAATAATCGTAAGCTAGATACACACTCAATGTTATTTTGATGCATGCTCTAAGGTCGTAAGTACACTAAACAAGATGGTTAAGATGGAAGCATTTTGATAGATGATGGTAAAAATGACCTTCTGTATCTTTCTTTGTTAAAGATCAGAAGCATGGGTCTTTTACTTCTGACTGATGTTTTTATTTGAGGGAACAAGGGATGTTTGTTGTCTAAAAAGATGGAATTAATTTTCTTAGTGCAAGCTGTTATGTACAATTCATCCAAGAAGGGGAATGAGGATGATGAAATTTTACATGCTTTCCGTATTAATTTGTCGATTTAATTTTTCTTTATCTTGTTGTCTTGTGTTCCCGGCCCATGCTGTTATACAAAAATTGATCATACTTTCTATGGTTGAATGGTAGAACATGGACATCAATGTATTATCAATTTTTAAATACTTTAGCTTTCTTAGAAAAAATAGTCTTTTGTTCACTTTTTTATGCAGGAGAGAAGTGTGGACACGCCAGTTGAGTTTGTTGTCTATTGTAACACCCAAATACTTATAGTCTGACACTTGCTCGATGTTTTCACATTTCATTTTGAGTGGCTGCAGGGGTAGTGTTGTCAACTTTGTACAATCAAAATTGTCCAAGATGGACACCTGTTGTCAAAGAGAAAGTGGTTTTGTCTTAGACAGGTTGACATGTTTGACAGTATCATATTTTTAAAATAAAAGGGTGGGAAGAGTATTGGTGGTCTTTAGAGCAGGTTCTACTTAATTTTAAAAGTAAAAGCAGATAGTTGGAAGGTGCCTGTGGTAGATCTAGTTGCCTTTCTCTTTGTGATTTAAGTTATTGTGTATTAAGCGCATAAAGCATTGCATAAGTGGATATGCGCTATATGCAATCCGTTATTATTTTTTGTATCAATGTGCTTCTCATTACTCAGAAAAGGCGACCGTGTTCAACACTAACATTTTTTTTTTCTAACAACTCTTCAGGTACGCTATCCTGACCGTATCACACTGATCAGAGGCAACCACGAGAGCCGACAGATTACACAAGTGTACGGTTTTTACGATGAGTGTTTACGCAAATATGGCTCTATCACCGTGTGGCGCTACTGTACAGAGATCTTTGACTATCTCAGTCTTTCAGCAATTGTTGACGGCAAGGTGAGTATGGCAGAAATGTTTTTGGTGTAGTTAAAGCTGACTCAGGCGGGGGGCTCCTTTCCGTTCTGGCATGTTTTTGGCATTGGTGACTGTACCCTTTAAGCAATTATTACGACTTTATTGTCACTTTTCAGTAGGTCAAATATTCCAAGGAACAAAATGGTCATTGTGTATTCTTGGAGGGTGTCACTGGTTTACCTACTGGCCCAAAAAAAACTTTACCCACAGGAAAGTCTATAACTCTCCACCAAAGTGCACAGGTCACACAAAACTTGACTGGAAGCAAGGTGAACCATCCAGAAAGAGAAATATGTAACAAAAACAACAGTACCTTGGAGGCAGCCATGGTTACTCCGAAGATAGTTACTATTGAACAACATATTTTTATGGTTGAAACTTATATCGAAACGATTTCCCCTATGCAGACACAGTATCTCTTCTGTAAACGGTTTGGAATTTACACCAAAGACTGTAAGAAAATACCAAGTAAAGTAACAACACTTAAGTGGGTGGCTGACTTCAAGTCAATGGCTCTGTTGAAAATTTTAAAAGAGATCAAAATCTGGGGTCACCCACAGTGGGAGACCGATGGAGTCTGTGGGCAAAGAACCTAAAATGTCTATTCATCATTATAGTATTAAATTAACTATTGCTAGAGAATCTGTTCGTCCGGTGTTGAAGTATTATCTGATGTTACAACCCTACAAGGTCACGTACATAAAAGGCTCTGCAAATGGAAATTATCATAAATTTCGTCAAGTGCCTCAGAGTGTATCCTCCAAAACGGACGTCGCATGGAACATGTGCTCTAACTTCCTTCAAACTTGGAATTTTTATTTGTAAATTTGTCACAATAAATCCGGATGGTGATCAAGTACGTCTGTGAAATCTTGTCTTTCTATCTCTATTTTAACTTTTTATGGGTGTCTCTGTGTGCAACGTTTTTTTGGGGTCGCCTGGTACTTCTTACCTTTTCCCTCTGTTGTTTCTGTCTATCTGTCTTAACATTTTATCCTGTCCTAATTGCCTATTATTGTGTGGATGTGCACCTCTACTCCTGAAAATGTGATGATTATTTTCCGTTTCCACTTGCCTTGGTGCTCTATTGAGCACCCTCAAACATTGATCTGGCTAGTTGTTTTAGTGGGTTATTTTCTGTCCCAAAGATTCAGTATTCCCTTTTGCATTTTTTGTGTCTGTCTTGACTGTTTGGGGGGGGGAGGTTGTTAATCTGTGTAGAATTTTGTTATTCGTGACTTCTCCAACGGTAATTACTGTATGAGTGAGCATAGGATATACAGCAGAGTCTGCTTAAACCAAACTCTGTTTGACCACCAGATTTTCTTCGGTTCAGCCAGGTTTTTCTGTTTGGAGAGGTTGTTCTGATAAAGTAAAAAAAATTAGGGTGATATAATGTTTCTCTTCTCAAATAAGTTTTATTATGAAGTTACAAACATCTCTTTGACTTTGACCCGATGAAGGTATGTTATTAGCAAATTGTGAAAACTGGAGGCTTTTGTTTGATGTCTTTCGCAGATTTTCTGTGTGCACGGTGGCCTGTCTCCGTCCATCACATCCCTCGACCAGATCCGACAGATAGACAGAAAGCAAGAGGTGCCTCATGACGGGCCCATGTGTGACTTGCTCTGGTCGGATCCTGAAGGTTGGTTTTTGTTCTTGGATTATTTTGGGGTTGTTGGGGGGTTTTTTGGCGGGGGGGGGGGGGTCCTCTCCTTTTAAATTTTTAATTTTTTTTATTTGCATACAATTAAAACAGGAGTGTGTTGATGTGCTTCTTTCTTCAAGAAATTCATGTTCTGTGTGTTGGTTTTAACATTTCCTCTGGTAGGTTGTAGGGTTCTCATCTGGTCAATGGCTGCCGCTAGCTTAACTTATTTTGGTTTCTTTATCTTTGTGGCAATGCGACAAAATGAGTCACATTTTTCTCTCAGCTATTTCAAACACAATGGGAGAAATCTGGATTTACTCTGAACAGTGTGTTTGTGACCTCCTAATTGCAAGTGTCTAAAGAGACATAGCAATTGGACTCCCTGTTTTCATTCACTTTTAGTGCTCGCGCAAATCTTCTTATTTGATGTGTACACTGATATTGGCAAAATGCAGATTGTGTCTTATTTTATTGTGTTCCTACACATATGCGAATCGTACTGTTTCTATCAGGACTTTATTGGTCATCTGTAGACATGCGAAGCTAGGGTTATTATTTCAACATTATGTTATACTGGTTAGATTCCCACTGGTGGATGGATGACTGCTGCATCTTGTTAGCGGCATTATGTACAAAGAATTTGATTGTACTTGATTGTTATTTATTTTGTTTCTTTTTTTTTTTTTTTTTAATTTGCAGACATGCAAGGCTGGGGAGTGAGTCCTCGGGGAGCTGGCTTCCTGTTTGGCAGTGACGTGGTCAACACTTTCTGTCAGGAGAACGAGGTGGATCTGATCTGCCGGGCTCACCAGCTGGTCATGGAGGGCTACAAATGGCACTTTGGGGAGATGGTGCTCACCGTCTGGTCTGCGCCCAACTACTGCTACAGGTCAGCAAATTTTTTTATTTTTTAATTTTTTTCTTGCCCATACGTATCGAAATGACCTCATCTGATAAGTGTAATGTTTTGTATGTGATGTGTTTACTATGGTCAACACAAGGTTCTAATAAGGTTAGTTTTGTAGATGGTAGACTGTCTGTGCATTGCTACTTTTGATAGTTACTATTCACTCTCTACAAGGTACTGTCCGAGATTTTTCATGTGAAAGGGAGATTCAGGTTAGTTGCCAGAATCGTATTGAGAACATCACAATGATATCTGGTCCACTAACAGAGATGACAATAGTATAGAGCTACAAGTGAACATGGGATATTTTGAGTAGTGTGGCTAAAGCTGTACTTACAGACAGATGGCTGATGCTTCGATAAACTAGGTTATGAATGATTGTTTAAAATAAGATTCACTCTACACCTCGACATAGAAAGCTAATAGCTATATAAACTTGCCATAGGTACATTTTGACCTGCGCTTATGACAAACTGTGCAAGACAATCGCCTGTAAACACGATCTGTTTTAACAACATTGTGTGGGTGGTTGGCGGGTGCTCTAGTGTAGTTTACTACTTCTTTCCTATCAAACGTCTATCATTTATATCTCTTCTTCTTTTTTCAGGTTGTCACTCTCTTGTAATACCTCTAATCTTTGGCATTTAAATGGCCATAGTTTGTTGCAAGTGCCACAAAACTCTTGCTATAAAACTAAAAGTTAGCTTTATATTATACTGTTCTAATTTCCCACCTGATCTTGTTCCTAGGGCTACTAAGAGTTCATCACCTTTCCTTTTATGAAGAATGTGAGAGGGACACACCTACACGCCCCTCCCCCCCCTCCCCTTCTTCCACATTCACAGTAATGATGGGAATGAATTGAATTGTTTCAGAGCATTTCTTAGACTCTCAGCCGCCATTTTTTGCTGAACTCGCTGGATTGCTATTTTAATTCAGCAGGTGGTTAGAGGGCACCACTGGTAGATCTTGCTTTTTTCTATTCCTCTGTTGTTTCTTTCCAGCTTTTTGCAGGCGCTGAATGGCTGTTATGGTGTCAAGGTGCTTTGTTTTTGCATATGAAACGTCTCTTTTTATACATTTTTTCTTAAAGTTATAGCTTAGGTATCGAGATGTCTTTCCAACGTACTGATCGGTTCCCTTCCGTTTTGTTTCCAGGTGTGGAAATGTTGCTGCTATCTTAGAGCTGGACGAGAATCTGAAACGAGACTTTACGATATTTGAAGCTGCTCCCCAGGTAAGATTTTTTTCTCGGGGATTGGTACTCTGTTTCTCTAGTGTCCATATGCTTTGGAAGGTTGATTTTAAATGGCATTGCTGTTAATTTATGTAGGGAATTATTTTGTAGATGCCTCTGAACATTTTTTTTCCAAATGATGTGATTTAGTCACATGCTTAAGGTGTGGGGGGTGGTGAGATGTCTTTTATGGTGTTTTTATTTGAGGCATAGGTACGGTATTTTAAATTTTAATGTGCTTGTGCTGTTAGCTTTTTTTTTTTTATATACTTTAAAATCTTAAAATCAAAGCACTTCACTTAACTAATATACATTTTTGTGTGTTTTCTCCTGTGACAGGAGTCTCGGGGTATACCGTCCAAGAAACCTCAACCAGACTACTTCCTCTAGCTCATTTGTTTCATTCTGCGGTACCTGTGTGAACGTTGCGACGGGAGGGGACAGCATCGCAGTAGTACCTGTTGTCTACGACCAACACGTCCAATGCAGCTCACGGAGATGTTGGGGGGTGGGGTGAAGGATCACATTAGAAGTGTGGCTTGGATGATGATATGACTTTTCTGACAAGGATTGGATGATGAGAATGATTTGACTTTTTTTTTTTTTACTATGATTGAGTGATGAAGATGACTCAGTTGACAAAGATTGTGTGACGATAAGACATTTTTGACAGTGATTGAATGATGAAGATGACTAGACCGTTGACAAGGATGTGGATAATGATTCTGAAGAAGAAATGACAGTTGGTAACAAGGTTAAGTGATGCTGAAAGTCTTTGAATGTAATATGAAAATATGTTGCAGCAGTAGCGGTGTGTGGCTGATGTGTCTTGAAAAAGAAAAGAGTGAGGAGGAATGGGTTGTGCTTTTAAAGATGAGTATTACAGATATTGCGTGTGTGCATGTGTGTGAGCCTGGGTATGTGAATATGTACAGATATTTGTGTGTGTGTGGCGCATATGTGTGAGTGCAACATCCTGCAGCTGACTTGAACCAAGATGCAAACACATGCTGTGGTCATTTATTCTCTGTCCTTTGATTGATGGTCCCTGCTTCCTTTCGTGTTTGTCAAATTCTCTGCTGGGTTAGGTTGGGGTTGTTGTTTTTTCTTCTTATTCTTCAGGAGAGTTTTCTGTTGGGGTGGGTGGCCATGGGGCCACCTCTTGCAGCACATAATTGTTCTCTGAGACAAGATGGAAAATGGCTCAGTACTAAGTGCAGATCCCCCATAGTTTTTATTCCAGCATTTGTAGATACATGATGAATGTTTATATTTTATATTATCACTGGCTTGGGTTTGTTTTGGGGGTTTTCTCAACCTGACTGGCTGAACTCCGGCAAAGTGGGGGGGGGGGGGGCAATATGTGGAAGTACAGAAGTGCAGTGATCTTGTTCAGTAGCATGTAAATTGTGTTCTGTTATTCACTGGTAGGTCCTTATCTTCTTTCCCTCTGTCATTTTTTTAGGCATTGTGGTGAAATCAGACATTCATGGAAATAACGATATTGAAGAAACAGGTATTTTTCTGTCCATTTGGCAATTTGTATCGATTTTATTATATAAAAAAATTTTTTTACTCAACACCTTTAAGGTTGTATATGTTTGTAATTATGTTAATGTATTTCTCTTCACTCTACCGAAAATAACGATGTTAGATTGAGCAAGAGGGACTGTTTGTAATGTAAATAAGTATATTCTGGTACTTTTTCATTATCTTGGTTGTTTCACATCCATATGATGGGTGGTTGGAGGGTGCTGCTGGTAGACTCTACTTTTTTTTTCTCTCCTTCTGTTCTCTCTGTTTGTCTGTAGTACTGTCGCAGGTGTGTGGAGGATGCCACTGGGAGGCTCTGCTTCTTTTCTTTTCCTCTGTTGGTTTCTGTCTATCTGTCTTGCCTTTTCCCTGTCTTAAATTACAGATATTGTGTCAGTGTGCTTCTCCCTGCTCCCACCAACGTGTTGGTCTTTTCCTATCACTGTACAACAGTTATTACGTTTATATATATGCTTCTGTTCTAACAAGCTGCCATGTGGAGTCTTTGACCTTGCAATTGGCTTTTTTGTTCCATATGAACAAGGTCTGTTGAAAGAAATGGCAACTTACTGACTTGTGGGATTTGTAAAAGACATGACCAAGTGAATGTGATGTGGCAACATCAAAAAATGTCTTTTTTGTTCTTTGAGAATCTGATCTGTAATGGTATGGATATCAGAGATGTTTTCTGCCAAGAATAAAGGTTGATGATTGAACTCTTTTTGTGTGCAATTGCCCGTTTTGTTCTAGATGTGAAATGTTGTGAAGGTTCCAACAGTTTTAAGCGAGTCTGGTTTGCTTCTGTGCTTGTTTCGGTTTGGATATTGCATGATTTAGTGGTTGTTATGTTTGAAGGGGGCTGGACTCATATAAGCATTGCCACCTTGAAATAATGACTTCTTGATTTCCTTCTACGTTTTGGTAGCTGGCAAGTGTTCTGCTGGGGGTGTGGGTTGGTCATGGTAGAATCTACTTTTCTTTCTCTTTGTTTCTCACTTCTCACTAAATGACTGTTATAGTAAATATGTGCTTTTCTTTACTTTACTATTGTTGATGGTTGTCACTGTGTGTGGTGTCTGTTCATTCTTTTTTTCTTTTTTTTTTTGTTTCGTCTCATTTTATTCAATTGGTCTCTGTGGTGTAGCAGTTAGGCTCTTCTCTGTTTCTCAATAATTTGAGTTCGATTTCTGAGTGGAAAATTTTTTTTTAACTAGTATCTCTGTCTGTTGTGATGTTGTATCCAACTCAGTCCAGGTTGGTCGTGACATCCATGATTGAATTAGCCTGCCTCCAAAAGTCTAAATTGTGTCGATGGGGGGTGTGAAACACAATTTATTTTTCACTTTCCTGGTGCTTTATGTTAAATTTTGTGTGTCGATGCATTTCTCTTCTCTATCAAACTCTCAGAAATTTTATTATGTTTCTCTTCAGTTGCCCTATCTTAAGTTTAAAATTTGACTGTCAGTTTAACCACAGTGTCTGAGGTGTGTAAAGATTAGGCTCTTCCCCTTTCACGCAGAAGACGTGAGTTCAACTCTCTCTCTCTCTGGGGAAGTATTTCATTGGGCCTATACCATCATATTTTCTATGAGATTATTGCCTTTGTTGTTTTTCACATGTAATCTTGGACCATACATTTGGGGAAAACTTTGTTAAATTGACCATTTGATAGAGCAGAAATGCTAAGGAATGTTATACGTATCAGTGAGGGATGAGTCTTATTATTATGTTGTAGCCCTCCCACTTTCTGTTCAAGCTTTATGACATCAGTTCTGTTTTTATTTATAGTGCATGTACCTTTACTTTAATAATTTGTTTGGAGACCACAATTGGAAAAATATTCGTCTTCTCACTTTCAAGTGAGTGGTTTGAGGGCGCCACTGGTAGATACTACTTCTGTACTTCCACTCTGTCATTTCTGTTGTCTTACTTTTTCCTAGCACTAAATGACCATTATTGTGTCGATGTGCTTCTTTTTACGCAAACAATCACTTTTAAGTTTAGAGAAAATGAAGTTAAAGAGTTCACACTTGCTGTTTGGATGGTGCCTCTAATAGTAATTGCCCGTACTTCCATTCTTTCCCTCTAACGCTCCTGTCTTTCTATCTTGCCCTACTCTTTGGCTGCACTAAATGACTTTTATTGTGTGGATGTGCTTCTCTTTGCTCTTATCATTTAAGTTAAAAAGACACAGTACTTTGATTGTTTCAATTATGTTTTAAACCTTTTGAAAATTGTCCCCATCTCATGCTTTCACTGGAAAAATAAAGGGCAGAAGATGCAGAGGAAGACCTAGAATAAGTCACTAAGAGAACTTGAATTAGGAAAAAAACCAAGATGATGCTGTATTTTGAAAGCATCAGGGCAAAGAAATGAAGGGTAGATCATGGTCGCCAATGTTTGTTTCAAATCTGGTGCTGTAAGAACTAAGAACAAGAAGAACCTATGTTCAAACCTATAGTACAGTTTGGGGCTGGTACAGTTGAAATTGTCCAAGGCAGCCAGCCGTAGTCGAGAAAAGTAGTTGTCCAGACAAGTGAATGCCTTGGAGAATCTCATAAAATAGAAGAAAAAAACACACAGTTGGAAGTCTTTGTCAGAGGTGGTCGTTTGTACAAGTGATTGTTTTGGACAGGTGGCAGTAAGAGCAGGTTCGGTTGGACAATACTATTTGGGAGTAATGAGTGGGAATAGAGAGATAATGCTGAATGCAGCAATTTAATTCTTTCTAGTCTCTGAATGATTGTTTTTTCAATGTGGTGATCTTCAGTAATGAATTTCATCAGACAACCATGACGGGGAAGAAATGTAACTTACATTACAATGTTTTCAGTCGTCGCTTGTTAATGCATTACTTTCCTACATGTACACAATCATGTGTTATCTATCAGATTTTTTGTGAGCAAAATGTTTCGATGGTGTTATTGGCATGCTCTAACTGTGGAACTGGTTTCTTGAAAATTTTTCTAAATGGAAAAAAAAAATTTTAATTTTTACTCTTCAGATTAAACGGTGTGAGAAGACAAAAGTTGGCCTATAACACTCATTTAGGACCCTCACATCAACCCCAGAAATAGCTTTAGTTTTTTTAAAAAAGGTTTCTTCCAGTTACACCGTTGTTAGAGAATGGCACAGTAATGCTCTTGTATTACATGGTTACTCCCCCTGTGTCTTAACAGAATAAGAGTGGCTGCATTTACTGTGGTCTCAATTTCACATACAGTATAGCACGCATATAGCAAAATACATAGCAGATTTTCAGGTTCAAGATATATTCATATACGTGTATATTCTTTGCATTTAAAAAATACAAGAAGTTTGTACAAAGCGAAAAGATTAGCGCGGCCCCTCGATTTTGCAACATGCGTGCTAGGCTGTAGATTGTTTATAAGCAGATTTTTCATTGATGGAAACCTGAGCTTTTTCACCTTGTCTCCGTAAAATATTTTTTGTCTCTTGTTCTGACATGTATCCTCTGGAATTCCATTCTATCCTGAACAGGGTAACAACTTGGGTGAAACCATCTACAACAGAAATGTTACCTTTATTTATTTGTATGTCCAACCCAGTGCTTGTCGACTTTTTTGTAGCCACCATCCATGTTTGCCACCTTTAAGAGACTAAACTTTCTGTACTGCCCACTTATATGTACACTCATACACTCAACGCTTTCCTTTTTTTTATTTTATTTTTTTTATAGTAGAGGGTTTTAGTACGGCGCTCGCAACTGCATGAGGTCATATGAGCGCCAAGGGGTGGGTGTCAACAGAGAAGTCTTTGCAGGGAATCAGACTTAGACTGCTCACCTCTCTAGCTTCACCAGCACAAGGTCTGCTTCGACTATCAAGGCACCCCAAAATAGCAGGTCACAAGAGAGTGACAAACAAACAAAAGAAGTAGAGGAAAATGGCAATAGTAAGGATCAGGAAAGAAAAAGCAGCAGTTCCCTGTTGTAGATCAAGCACAGTTATGAGTGTGACATGAGTCAGCCCATTTACAATTCTACTATGCTTGAACGAGAAATGTCCCCCCTTTGGGAATGGCCTAAAGACACTTCAGTCAGTGGCACTGCCCCGGGGGTAACGCTGTCTGAGATGGTCTCACATTGTTGAGGAGAAAAGTGGCTGTCTTGCACAGTGTCATTATAATGTTTAAAAATTACAAAAGGGAGGAAATGGGAAGTTGCCATTTGTACAGGTGATTGTTTTATACATCATGTGGCCGTTCAGACTGTATTTCCATTCAAGGCAGTAAATAAAAGTCTACTTGCCAATACCGTGGGTGATATGTAGACGTGTTAAATATACCTACATTTTCAAAAAAATTTCACTTTTACAGTTTTACAGTGTGTATTAACTGCTCCGTGTAGTAAGATTCCTACTTGCGTCACTTTCAAAATAGCATGTGGCGGAGTCACAAAATAGTGGATGTGACTGATGTCAGTTGCTTAGCGGTTAGGCTGTGCCATCTCATGCTGAAGATGAGAGGGGGGGGGGGGGGGGTGTCAACTCAAGTATCTCCATCTAAATGGTGGATATGACCGATGTCAGTTGTCTAGAGGTTAGGTTCTTTGCCATCTCACGCTGAAGATGAGATTGGGGGGGGGGGGGGGGTTGTCAAGTATCTTTGTCTTTCTGCTGGGACTTCATGTTGCTCTCACTTTGGGTAAGCTTTGGCAGGCATGGCCAGAGTAGGGCGCCTCCCTCCTAAATTGACAAAATTTTGTTGATGGCAGTACAAAATGGTTACAATTACAATACATTATATTTTTTACAGCGTGTGTGTCGTGTAAAGTTATGGAATGTTTTTTTCAAGAAATGCCCGTGAGTTTGTGAGATATTTGAGAAATTTTGAGATTTTTTTTTTTTTGCTCAGAGTTCATTATAAACAGCTGCTATTCAGTTTGTATAATAATAAATTATTCAGTTGGCTATGCAGTATTATTATTTATGACTGTGCTCTGATGTTAGTGGGATCAATATTTAATTGCAATGTCCTTATTTTATGTTGAGATGACACAATTGCGTATCTTTCAGCTTGCACGAGAACTTTACGATCAAATTGATCAAAGTCAGAGCTATAAAAAAATTGCACAGGCCCCTTAAATTTAGGCTAAATTGAATATTCTGATTTTCTTTTAAAAAGTGAGGTTATTCAAATCATTTTCTGATGTTCTGATTGTTCTAAGGAAATTTTGGTCATTGGAATAATTTTTTATCACTGTTCATGTTTTGATTTTCCAAAGATATTGTAGTTGCTCTAATCTTTTGCAGAATGTGGAAGCATTACACTCGCATTGAAAATGAAGGTCTGACTTTAAAATCATAATTGTTCATTGCTTTGCCCGTCTAGGATTTTTCAATCAATTGGCATTTTGTTTTGTTTGGGTGGGTTTTTTTACTGTGATGATACAAGAATTGTTTTATGCAGCATGGTGGTATTTTAGGGTGGGAGAGCAGAGAGAAACTATAATTATATATATATATACATGTTTGTATTTTGTTGCATGACAATGGTCAAGTTAGTTGATTTATTTGGGTTCTTAAAGTGTAAAGTACCACAATATTTTGTTTGTTTCTGTCTTCTTTTTTTTCCAACTTCTCTTTATTTGCTACTAGGATACATCATGTTTGGGTTTTTTTCCGGGGGTTTAGTTTTTGGGGTTTTTTTATTGTTGGTTTTTTGTTTGGATGGGAGGGTTATTGCTTGGGTTTTTTGTTTTTAGACTGGATGTTTGGTTCTTCCATTGTTCTTATGCTTTGAAGCTTTATTGCAAAGGGCATTGTCGTCAATTTATGTTACGAATATCCTTGTACATTTTTGTTAAAATTATGATTTAGTTGATTATATTCCTTCATTTTGATTTCCTTATTTTGTGTCTAGAGTGGAAGTATGACAGTTCAGCTTACTTTTGTTAGCTTTTTTTTTTTTTTTTAAATTAAATCGAACCACGAATATGAAATTAAATAATTTGTACATACGAGTCAATTGATATTAAAAGTATAATTGTCCCAAATGAATTGTTTTGATTTGTATTGGGGTTTTTTCTGTTAATGAATTGTTGTGCGTTTGGTGCCAAGTGTCTTTCCCGTGATCAGGTCCTTACTTAGGCCGCGTGTCCACCAAACCAGAAACCAACCTGCCGTTTGTTGTCTGTCTCTTGGGAAGTCAGTAGTTGAAATGGAGCACCGGTTTTTACCTTGGAAATCGGTAAAAATTCCGTTTGGCTTGAGTAGTTGGTGATTGGCAGGTGCTATGGTGTGGTTTGCTTCTTATTTCCTATCAAACATCTATCGTCTTTATCTCCCCTTCTCTTGTTTTATATTTGTTACTCTCTTGTAACAGCTCAAATCTTCTGGCGCTCATTTGACCATATGCAGTTGTGAGCGCCCGTAAAACCTCTATTAAAACTAACGTTTGGTTGTGTCTACCAAAACGACACGACACCTCCTTACAAGATGTATAGGTTGGAATGCTGCTTAGAGCTTCGAGTGGATAGAGCCAATGATATTTATTTCAGATGTCTTCTGTGCAGATGTAACAAAATAATGCTTACGCAGATCTTGCATTGTAAAAGTTTGTGTCCCTCCCTTCCATTCTAAGCTCTTCTTGGGGGGTGCTTTGGTGTGGTTCGCTCCTCCTTTCCTTTCAAACATCAATCGTCCTTATCTCTCCTGTTTTTTGTATGTTACTGTCAAGTAACACCTCTCATCTTCAGCATTTACTTATATGACCTATTGTGTCGCAAGTGCCGTAAAACTCAAACCGAAACTGAACTGAGATCCTCTAAATTTTTACGGGTGAGAACCCAACATGGGTCACTCTGTTATCTCAGTCGGTATCATGCTGGACTACAGAGCGGATGGCCCTGGTTAGAATCCTAAACTGGGCGTTGTTGAACTTGGATCGCTTTATGGGAGTTTTCAAGGTTCTCAACCAGTTTGGCTCGGTACTGTCGGATCCAAAATTAAAATTCTAAGGTCCCGTCTCTTAAATAACCTAATAGTGTTGAAACACTTTTTTTAAAATCCACTCTGTAATATTTGTTCTTTGAGGCGCAGAGATGATTTATATTTATAGAAAAAGAAATACAGTATACTCCAGTGAGGTCAATCAAGGAGTAGGTCAGTTTCTTTTAATCTAGTTGTATGTGTGCGATGACAGATGAGGTTATGTAATACATGTATATATAAACACATCTATGTTAATGCATGTGTGTACGAAACGTACAACATGTTTGTGGGTGGTTGGCGGATGTTCTGGTGTGGTTTGCTTCTTCTTTCCTATCATTTTTATCAAACATCTATCGTCTTTTTATCTCCTCTCCTTTTTTGTGTTTGTTACTCTCTTGTAACACCTCTAATCTTCAGCGCTTATAGGACCTTATTGTGTTGCGAGTGCTGTAAAACACTTACTATAACAAATAGTACAAAAAGTTTTCTGTGTGCCGTTTTAAGTTTGCATTTTAGCTATATATACGATCACGAACAAGGTGTACAAGGATATCAAAAGTCTCCCTCCCTCCCTCTCTCTCTCTCTCTCTCTCTCTCTCTCTCTCTCTCTCTCTCTCTCTTTCTTTCTCTCTGTAACACACACTCATACACAAACTCACAAGTAGAATATTATACGCTTAAGTCATAGACATACGAAAACATAAATACGTGTGTACATCCACAATGTCATATGATATAAAGATATAATATACATGTATTATAATTAACACATCAGATACACACAGAAAGCTACAAAGAAGCCCAAAATACAATTGTAAAAATGGACAACGCCGATTATTTATTCATTGTTTAAAAAAATCACACACCAATAAGCCAATAAATATTTATGCATAGATATTGTGACATGAGTATTCAAGTAGAAAAGGCATAAATTGCTATTCGGATTCGCAGGTCACATTTCTTCGGTACCTGTCTCTAAACGTTTAAGCGTTAGTCAATCAGGATTAATATCTCATTTTGACCAAAAATAA